TTACAGCTGTGGGTAGTCTCATGGTAGTGCAATAGGCAGAGCCTTTTAAGCACGCTGCAGGGAGTTTATTTAAAAGCGCTTTCCTCCTACTGAGAGCTTCTGTGATATTCTGGTGCAGAACAACAGGTGATCATTGATGTTTTCCCCTTCCATAGTCTGGCTAGTGTGTGTTCTGGAAGGGCCAACACTGTTTCTTGCATGCAGCAAAAATAAAGCTGTGTGTATGGGAATGATGGACAGGAGGATTTTAAAGCTGAGTAGTTTCCCACCCACTGCACCTTGTGTGTTTCCTGGGGTTGTGCTGCGTCTGATCAGAAGCTGGCTCTAAAGTCCTGCAAGAGTGCTCTCCATGGCTTTATTTTACTCTTCCAACTAGCTGGTAAGTGACTTATCACACTAGAGTGAAAAGTCCTTTAGGGTCTTTTTCTCTAGAGAAGAGAAACTTTAACCACATTTTGAAACAGTGGCAAAAAATGCTTTCTTAAGTGTGGGTTTTGGAGGACTAAAGGACCAATTAGTTCAGAACTGCTGACCCGTAAGAGTAGGTAGCAGTTAACTTATGCTGAACGTGCGCTTTGAAGGTAGGGCCTTTTGTCTCCCTGCAGCTGTTTCACAGAGTTGCGATTTGCGAAAAGATGGATGGAATGTGCTTGTTCAAATGATAGGTACCTCCTGAATGCGAGATACCTAAGCACATGACTTCTTCTCCCTGGTTCAGAGGCAGGTCCAGGGGGAACAGGTTGGCTGCAGGACTGCTCATCTGATGTAGAAGTATTCCTCAGTTGAAGAGTGGGCACCCAAAATACGCTGAATAAATGTTGTTGGTGTCCAACAGATGGTAGTTGATGTGTTTTCCAGCTGTCACAAGTCTTGAAATTCTTCTGTTGTATGTGCCAGAGTTTCACCTTTGTGTTGCCAGGCTGAACATAGAAATGACAACGGCAGGTAAAAGTATTCGTCAACACTCTAGAGAGAGAATTAAGCTGAACCAACAGAAGAGGATTAGTATGTCTTGAATTAGTAGGTGCACCTCAGACATTGTAATTGGGACATTCCACATTAAATTCACTTTGTAGAATAATTTTCATTGCGTCAAGTCTTTAATTGTTGTCTCTGACCTCAGGTGAGAACTGCATCACCCACAGCATCTATCTCAAGGACATTTTCCTGACCGTGACACTAAATTGCAACACGTAAATGTCTTTTGCCTGGTACAGTCCTGGACTGTTTTCCATTGCCTCTGCTTTGAAGTGTCAGCTTTCAGTGAACTCTGCTAAGATTTTATTATTGCATTGAGGCTGAGGCAGAGAAGAGCAATTAAAGGGTTGACATCTTTGGTTATTTTTTTAATAGTACATGTGTCAAAATGCATTTAACAAATCATAGTTGATGCAAAAGCCCTATTAGTGCTAATATGTAAGTACAGTTCATTTCAGTGGGAGCAAATGAGAATTCTAAAATATATAATAACAAAAAACGGTTGCCTTATTTTAGGTATAGGACCTAACTACAACTGCTATTTCGAAGAACTGAAGTCTTAAAGCATAAATACTCCTTTCTGTTCCAGGATACAGCTGGACAAGAAAGATACAGGACCATCACTACTGCCTACTACCGAGGAGCCATGGGCTTCATCCTCATGTATGACATCACCAGCGAAGACTCTTTCAATGCAGTGCAGGACTGGTATGAAATAAGTTGTTGTGTTTGTCTGGTTTTTGGCCTATTCTCTACTCACAATTGTTTATTGAAAACATTTGACATCCCACCCTCTACAGTGCTTTGCATCACTGTATTCTTTCCTCTTCATCTAAACTCTGGGATAAATAGTTTCTTAGAAAAAGTTCTATGGCTTCACTTTAATGAAAAAGTTATAATTCAAATATAGTAGCATACTATAGCAGTTGGTGCTTTTAAAAGTCATAATTTATTGTAAAGAAATTAATCCTTTAATGCTTTATTTGGGCTTCTGAGATTTCTGACTACGCTGCTAAAACAACCCAGTTTAACAGTGGTTGTTTGAGTCAAATCTCATTTAAAATCTAATAAGGCTAAATCTTTCCCAACTGCCTTAAATATTAATTTTTTTTTTTTTGAACCTACAAGTGCAGACACATGGAGCAGTATCCACCTTGCCTAACTTGACATAATTAAAACAAGAACTTTAGCTGTTTAAAACTTGTGAAGTTTAAATTGGTTGTAATAAGAGAAGGACGAGCAAGGTTTAGGACAGACATCAAGCGTGCCCCTTGGAAAGGGACCTGTCTGTACCGCTGACTACAGAAGGCACCTGAACAACTCTGTAAAGCAGAGCTCAGTGTAGAATGATGGAATGGGGGAGAAACAGTTATCTGTTAAATGGGAAGGGTGGGACTTAACCTTAAAACTAGCTATGAAAAAGATTCTCAGATATTATAAGCTCCTCTGACTCCATTGAATTCAGTGCAACTGCAAAAACATCAGAAAACGATTTCTGGACTTTCTGATGACAAAACGCCAGGAAATGTTTTTGGCTTACAGTGAAAAAAGAAAGTACCAGGTCAGTCACTTTAAAAACTCCACGGCAGCATTAAAGCTGCACTGGTACCCAGGCTCATCTCCCCCAGCGTTTTGGTGTGCACTTTCCCTTTCCCTACCTGGAGGCCCCCCTTGTAGCTCATGCCAACTGTCTTCTTCCTCAGGAAGAAATGTCCCATCTCACCCCACACTGTGATTTGATTTTTGGAAGCGGAGCTGTGGCCCAGACCACCTTCCTGTTCTCCTGCCTTCCAGACAAGTACATGTATTGAGCAGGAAGAGTAGAGGTCTTCCCAGAAGATCCAGAGCACACGTCATTGCTGTGGCCATGGGCAGTGCCTGCAGCCCCCTCGGTGGGAGCTGATGGGGAGGCGTTTTCTTAGCAGGGACCCAGCACCATGCCTGGGGTGAAAACATCTGAGCTGCTGCTGCTGTGAGGTAGTAGCCACAGGCACAGCGCAGATAAGCAGAAGGCTGGACCCTGTTGCTGGAGCTCACGTTCCACCAAGGCATCCTCTCAAAGGGACACCAGACTTTCTGCAGGAAATACAGGGCATGGGGAGGCAGGGAAAGGGCTGTGTTTATCCTCAGAAGTAGTACCCCTGTGGCTCCCCTCAAATGTCTTGCGATCATTTCTGCTTGTTACCCTATTGCTGTGTACTGCAGATAGGTATGGTCCGTGTGCAAAGAAAGGCAATGCAGTGGTTAATGTAATTTCCCAAGTCCGACAGGTTGATTTGCAATGATCTCGGTGACCTCCTGGGAGCGCGTGACAGCAGCATGTAGGTGACTTTTTTATTCCCTAATCTAGGTTGTAACTCAAAAGCCACAACAACGTGGTTTGTTGTTTCTAGTAATTTGGCCTTCCTCCAAGGCTGCCCATTGTTTGTTCTTGTTGTCCACTGAAGCAGTTGGTCGTGGTCATCACATCTAAAGATGTAGTCTCCACTTTCACTCTATCTCCAGTATCATCACACTGTGCTGCAGAAGGTGAACTGCAACACCTTTCCTGAGCTGTCCATCAGCATCGAATGGTAGAGGAATAAATTTTTTCCTTGCTAGAAACACAAACCCAAAGGCTTTGCCAAAACCAGGTTCCTTTATGTGGCATACCCTCCACCAAGCTCAGATGAAGCTGTTTCTCCAATTGTCTGCACAGTGATTTTTTTTTTTTTTTTTCCATGGGAGTGCAGGCATATGAGGTAGGGAAATATCTCTCACTAAACTATAAATATTTTCACCTTGGTTCCTTGATAAAACAAGGTATATATGACCACTTCATCTGTCTGTCTGTCGGTTCCTGTCCTGGTTTGAGTGACATAGGGCTAGTTCATCTTCTAATGCTTGGGAAGATTGCACTTTTAGAAGATTCTGGTGTCCGAATTTGTGAAAATATTTACGTTACAGCCAGCTATGGTGCGTGGGTTTCAAGGTCTCAGTGTTTTCGAGCTTGCCAGGTGCAGGGATGAAGAGGTGCGAGACCCGGGCATTTGACCCAAGCTGGCCAACGGGGTTGGTTGGGTTTCATACCATCAACGTCACATTCACTGTAAATTAGAAAGTTTGCTGCGAAGTTCTCTCCCTCCCTTGATGGCTGCCATCCTGAGAACTTGGTGCCCTGGTGCTGGACCCCTGAGGCCTCCCCTTCCTCCTGAAGCTGTAGCGCTCGCAGTGTCCAACATTTGCTGTCCACTGCCGGGAGTGCACAGCTTCCTATGGATAGAATGGGCTGAGTATAATCTTTGCGTATTCTGTATTGGTGCCAGGATCAATATTGGTTCTTTAGTGCTGTTAATGGTAATTATCTAATCTTAGTCTATTAAATCTGTTTATACTTCAGCTCTTGGATTTCCTTCTTTTTCCCAATTCCCTTTCCCAGGTGGGGAGGGGTCATCGGGTGATAGAATGATTGTCTAAATAACAACAAATTGTTATGGGTCTCTCAAACCATAACAGTTCCTTTCTAATAAGTTTTACTTATCAGTCTAAACTTAACCAAAAGATACCAAATCTCAATCTCTGAGCTGCTGCTATTTTAGAGTTTTGTCCAGGTGAAGTTTAACCTGAAGCTTTGTATTGGAAGTGGTCCAACCTATGTTCCATGAAAGGCAATGGTGCATGAGCAAGAATTAGGAAAGGTCAGCTTTGTACATTTGGTTTCGTGTCTTCCTGCATCATCGGGGCTGCATGAATATCTTTGCTAAGAGCACCTTGTCAGCTAAAGGACAGAGGTGAACCATCAGTTTATTTTTACTCTGTGTGTCAGGAATCCTTGCAACCAATTTTAAGATTCTGAGCCCGAATGAAGTAGTGGAGCTGATAAAATCAGCCTGTGGTAGCCCATTTCCTTCCTTTCTGAAGCTTATCCACAGGAGAAGAGATGAGGACTGTCGCAAAGCCAGCAGAGTCCTCTAGTGGCAATGCAGCGAAGAGATGCTTTTTTCCCAGTCTGCAAAATTGCTTTCTAAACTTCCAAAGGGACAAGAAATGGAAACAAAAGCTTTTGTCTGGTGCTGGTGTTGCTGTGTCAGCCTCTGCCATTTGCTAGCACAGCAAGTAGGTAGGATTTTGGTTTGGGTTGGTTGATTTTTTTTTTCACCATGTTGGGTGATACAGTTATGCTTCAGAAACACTTTACACTGGATTTGGTCTACAGTCAGGAACTGTGCTCTCCCTGGAACATTAAGGTGTCTACTACTTGAGCTCCTTTACCTCAGAGCCTTTATCTGCATGAACCTAGTCCCTTCTTCAGGTCAAGCGCGAGACAGCAGCAACATGCCTAGTGATAAAAACAGAGCCATAGCAGTCCTGCAGTGCTTCTGTTCAGGGCTGGTGAGAGGATGGAGTGGCAGCAATTGGGAAGCTGCGCAGGCTGCAAATTCAGTAGCATGCCCCTGATGCTCAGCCCTGCCTTGTCTGGTCCATCACGTGTGGATAGGAGAGCCTTCCTGTTCTGCCTGCTGTACCCAAGAGGGAGAACCTCCATAAGACGGCTAGACACAGAATGTTTGGGACGTGAGATGGTCTGATGGGAGGACAAGTGCCTGAACCACCTCTTCTCCACTAATGAAGCTGTTACCCTCAATGTTGCTCCTAGATTCCCAGGAAATGGCAAAGTTGCAAGCTGCTTTTCACCTTGCAAGGAAGGTGTGTGGCCCGATACGTGAGTTGTCTCTCAGCTTGCAGAGGTTTAGGTGAGGCTACAACAAGCCATGCTAGTTCTAAGACCATACTTCAACCCTCACTGAAATTAAATGGGGCATCCACCTAGAATAAATGCAAAAGCTAGCAGCTAAGCTCATCCCAGGTTTTCTTGCATCCTGCAAGTTTCAAGAAATTAAAGCAATTAATCCTATACATCCCTTCTCTCTTTTAAGTGTTCTGCTAGCCTACCTGGCTAGTGATGCGTTTTTCAGTGTCCAGCTATACCAAATAAAGAATACTGATAAGTTGAATATTTTGTCATAAGTGCAGCATGATGCAGCAGATAGGCTGACCTTTTAGACATTGAGAATAAATAAGCAGTGCTCAGTTAATGTGAATGAAGTCCAGTAAGGAAGCTGTTAACCTTCCCAGTTATTTCTAAAATAGCGTGTGTGGATGGAATTTGAGTGTTTCTCTGGCATAAAAAGAGTAGGCCACCTGCTTTGTGATCATGGGACTGGGTTCATAAAGCAAATGCAATCAAGCTTAGGAGGATATCTCAAGAAAATCATCAGCAAATAAAATATGAAGTGATGCCCCTTCCATTAACTTTTGGCTGCTGTCTATCCCAGTCCCTTCTCATTGGCTGATAAGAATTTCTCACCTGAACATAATTCCTTGGTCCTAAAATTGTACCCGTTCACAAAAGCTTGGAATAGGTCAAGTTGTGTACAGTAGTCCTCTTTGTGTGTTACAGTAGGACATTTTCCAGTCCAAAGCCCGTTACTTCCTGCTGGTGCCCTGACTACTGCTGTTTAGTGATTCAGGTTTTTTACAATGCTGTGTAAGCAGGATGTCAACATGAGCATTGGCCCATCTCACTGCTTTCTCTTGTACCACCTCTTCCTGCAGAATTCCCTACAGAAAACAAGCCAAAAGCATGAACAAGCAGCTGAACTAGAGACCTAGCACTCCAAGTAAGCTCTCACCCATGACAAACTCTTACCTTCTGTTGAGCTCATAGGGATGTGCACATAGATCTCAAAATTCATCTTCATAATTACACTGAGATTATGGGAAGGCAGCCTTTTGCAAAGTTGGCTGTCCACTAGAGAGAAGTCTTTTCCCTTCTAGACCTCTCCAGCACCTTAGAGCTTATGTCCTCCCTCTAGCTGGCAAATTGTCGTAGCAGGTTGTGCTCACTAGCCACCTTATTCTCCAAGCCTTTTCACAAAGCTCCAACATCACCTCTAAAATTGCGTCCCATATACATGTGATGCACTTCACCTCTCATCTCTGGCTCATTGGCATGTGACTGTTTTAAGGGCCTCCTGACCTGGCCTCACCTGCCCACAGGGGAAATGAAAATATGTATCTCTTCCAGTCTGCCATATGATTTCTTCCTTGGGTGATCTTTTTTCCGCACCCTTCTTATGAGTGGATGTCCTAAAGAGGATTCTGGTTTGCTTTGTGTCACTCCAGAAATACTTCACCTAAACCAAGTAAAGGCACTCTTTCTCTTGGATAAGGAGGCTCGTGGCTACTTATCAGGTATTTAGACAAGCTCTCCAGGTAGTATATGAACATGAAGTACAGTCTTTCCTTCATTCACATGAATCACCCCAATTAATGATAATTAATGCAGCTGAGAAAGAATACGATACGCAGTTTAAATGCATTTGGGAATATCTAGGACGTGACCTGTTCTCTTGCTCCTTCACTGGGAAAGGTACGACAGATTGTATGAGAAGCCTTAAAAGATTAAGCCTGAGTGATTTTCCTTACTGCAGTGTGGCAAGAGTACAGTCAGGTTATTTCACAAGAAAAAGCATAAATGGGCAAAAGCAAAGATGGGTTTTACCTGATATTTGAAAATAACTAATTATTTTGTTTGAATAATAAGATGTCTTTCCTGTAGGGTGAATGAAAGGGTTAAATGAGCTTTCATGGCTTTCAGCTCATTTTCTACATTTTTTTGGTAGGATCCTTTGACAGTTATTATTTGACACTGGCTTGATAGTTTTGTGTGTAGAAAAATCAGTGGTTTTATACCTCATTTGAAACTGTACTGAAACTAGAATATACTCAGCATTTGATACTGTAAAGTAAATAGAAAATATTACAGAAACTCTGCTTTGGACAATCTAGACAATTTCACAGAAGGAAAGAAAAAGTTGGTTAAAATTAACTTAGCTTTAAGCAGCAGCTGGGTTCAAAAATCATCATCTTTATTTATCTTTAAGGCTGATCTCCAAATTAGGCTGTTGATATATCCATGTAACTGTGAACCTGAGACTATTTTTCTTCTAAGTGTGAATCACAAAACCCATGCTTTATCGTTAATTTGGGGAATTCAGCACAAATAAGACACAGCATTGTTATTGTGTCACAGAAATATATTTTTCACAGTGTGTATATTGGACTGCCCTGATACTTGTTGAAACATCTCAATTGTACAGACATTTTTATTTATTTATTTACCTTTCCAAAAGCTTCTGGAAAATTGCTGCCTTTATTTTTCTTTGAGAATCAGGGTTTCTTTTAGGCGTTCTTCATAACTTTTTGTTTGCTTGTTTTTTATTCCTAGTAAGTGTAAATGTCAGTGTTCTGCGAGAGGTTTTTCACTATAGCTTGTACAAAACAAGGAGAAGGGTGAGTTTCTGTGGGAGATCCTTCATGCTTTTTTCTTCATTTTCACTTTCTAATTAATTCTGTTTAAATAGCTAAGATTTGGCAGTGTGTCCCCATATGACCCCCCCCCCAGGGCTGAAATGAATCCAGAGAACAGACTGGGAGTCCGAAAAGAAGCCTGTTTATATGTGTTTTAAATTTAATCTGGAGAGGCTTTCTTTCTCTCTATTGCTTATGGAGGGATACTGGGGAGATTTCATCTTCCCGGGCTTTTGGTTGATTTCTGAGGTCACCCCTTTCTCTGATGAGCCTTGAGAATCATAGAATGGTTTAGGTTGGAAGAGACCTGGAAGATCATCTAAGTTCCAAACCCCCTGCCATGGACACCTCCCACCAGACCAGGTTGCTCAAAGCCCCATCCAGCCTGGCCTTAAACACCTCCAGGGATGGAGCTTCCACAGCTTCTCTGGGCAACCTGTGCCAGTGCCTTACCAACTGCTGACTGAAAAACTTCTTCCTAATACGAATATTAGGTTTCTCCTAATGAGAAAGCCCAGAGTACTGCATAAACTCATTACAGACTCATATTAGGTCTTACATGGCTTGTCTACATAGAGGCACTCAAAAAGGCAGAAATGGATGAGCCAAAATTGGGATTAGAATGAGTGCCTTTCTAGGAGGACACTAATAAGAGTAAGAGGTTTCACTGCACAAAGTCCTCGGGGGTTTTTTGGGTGTTGCAGTATGGGTCTGGGCTTGTGCAGTGGGCTTGGATTAGGTTTATGTTTTCCAGTGCAATCCAAACAGGCTGCTGCTTCAAGGCAAGCTGCACAGGGAAACGACCCCCTTTTTCAAAGGTACCTGGGGAGTAACATGACTGGCTGCTTTCCATGAAAAAGGCAAGTAAGCAACTGAAACTAATTAAAAATTATCATTAGTAGATCAGAGCTGGGGGCTTCTGCTAATTCAAAAGAGAAGGAATCAAGTGCTTTATTGTTGAGGGAGCTGAAGGAAACTAAACAGAAGCGAAAATCTGAGGGGACTCCTGGCTCTCCTGGGAGAAATGGCAGGTTTGCCTAAAACTGTAGTGTCCTGTATGGAGGGGTGGTGAAAAGAGACAAAGAGCGGGAAGGTGAGTTAGGGACTGGAGGAGGGAAGGAGTGAATTTCTTCTGGCAGAGCAGCCTAATTGCCTTTGGGAAGGAGGGAGTCTTAAAAGATAGAGCTGACTTGGTGAAGATAAAATAGGTTGGGCCAGTCTGAAAAAAAATGGATGAGAATGAATGCTACCAAGCTAATACTGTTCTGCTGTTGGCTCTGTGACACCTCACTGAGGATGGTGGGAAAGGACTGGACCCTAAGGATAAACAGAAAAAAAAATAATCTTTTTTTGTCATAGAAAAAACTATAAAGAGGCCAAATGTAAGGTCATACTCCTGGGATCCTCATCTAGCTGCACTCCAGTTTCAGCATATGAGCCACAGAGATCTTTAGAGGCTTTAAGTTCATCCCAGTGCTCCTACTTAAGCTCCCATGCGCTTGGTCCCTCTGTCATTCAAGTTGGCATTTGTCTGATACCTGCTGTCTGTCATGGCACCTGCTGTTTCCTGCCATAGGTATCACTTAATCCTGCTGGGTTCAAGTATTAACTCACAGGGCCTTACCTTGACCCCATATCCTCCTGATTTGGTAAATTTCTGTTTCTCTTTAGCATAATGTTTCTACATTTCTATGCAATTTTCAGTCTCCATGAACCAGTTTTTCTGTCCAAGCAAAGACAACTTGATGCTTCCATCTGTTTTGACTCTCAAAACACAATTTCTTATGGTGTGACTAAAATTGTGCAGCAGCAAATGAGCATTTTTTTTGTCTGCTCCGAATTGTTGTTGTTAGGTGTTTTAAAAGAAGTTGTAAATCTAGCATGAAGTGTGTATCTACTGTATGGCTTTTCTCTATAGGGACAATATCCTTAACACGTGTAATTGATTGTTTTTCCTCTGACAGATTACAGCTGAAGGAGAATAAGCTTTAGAAGACTGCTTTTTTTGTCCCTAGACTTCAAAAATTATTCAATTTGGCTTTTTGTCTCAATCTCAGGATCTTTAAAACACTTGCAAAGTCTTAACAAGAAACTTCATTGTCACACAAAGTGAAGGAGTAGTAAAATAGAATGGTGCTATAAATTACAC